TGCACTTGCCTGTTGAGTTCACTCCATATGAACCTCTCCATAATCTTTCCTGGCACCGAGGTCATGCTGACAGGCCTGTAGTTCCCCGGGTCCTCCTTCCGGCCCTTCTTGTAGGTGGGCGTCACATTGGCAAGCCTCCAGTCATCAGGGACCTCCCCTGTTAACCAGGACTGCTGCTAGATGATGGGAAGTGGCTTTATAGATGATGGAAAGTGGCTTGGTGAGCTCCTCTGCCAGCTCCGTCAATACTCTCGGGTGGATCCCATCTGGCCCCATAGACTTGGGAGCATCCAGGTGGCATAGCAGGTTGATAACTGCTTCCTCCTGGACTATGAGGGCTCCATTCTGGTCCCCATCCCTATCTTCTAGCTCAGGGGGCTGAGTACCCTGGGGATGACTGGTCTGGCTGTTAAGCACCTCAGCCTTTTCCTTGTCCTCGGTGACAATGTTCCCCCCCACATCCAGCAAAGGATGGAGATCCTCCTTGGCTCTCCTTTTATAGCTAATGTACTTGTAAAAGCATTTTTTATTATCTTTTACACCATTGGCCAGATTGAGTTCTAGCTGGGCTTTTGCCTTTCTAATTTCCTCCCTGCAGGACCTAACAAGATCCCTGTACTCCTCCTGAGTTGCCCTCCCCTTCTTCCAAAGGTGGTAGACTCTCCTTTTTTCCCTGAGTCCCCGCAAAAGCTCCCTATTCAGCCAGGCAGGCTTCTTTCCTCTCCTCCTCATGCTGATCTTTCTTTTATACTCAGCAGTGTTTTCTCTCTACCCTTTGTTTAACCTAGACTAGGTTTAACAGATATTAATACCATGTCACGCTTGCTCTTTCAGCGCATGCAACCATCATCATCTAACTGATATTTCCACACTGGCAGAAGCACATGCTATTTAAATGAGTATCTTCAGTACAGTCAAATACCACCATTCCTAAGGAGGAGAAGCGGAGAGGGAGGTGCTTATCTCTTCTCCCTGGTATCCAGTGATCAGATGCATGGGAATGGTTCAAAGCAGTGCCGGGGAGGTTTAGACTAGACATTAGGAAGTGTTTCTTTACTGGGAGTGTGGTCAAACACTGGAACAGGCTTCCTAGAGAGGTGGTTGATGCCCCAAGCCTGTCAGTGTTTAAGAGGCATTTGGACAATGCCTTTAATAAGATGCTTTAACTTGGCCAGCCCTGAAATCATCAGGCAGTTGGACTAGATGATAGTTGTAGGTCTCTTCCAACTGAAATAGTTACTCTATTCTATTCTGGTCATGCTGACCACTCCAAAAGATAAGTGACTCTCTGTCTACTTCACTGAGCTATGCCAAGCCTTCTAAAGCCTCGTGATTGCGTAGAGCCATCCTACCATCAGACTGGTCTGTTGTCCCGTTGGCAGGCTTCTGGAGCTTTGATGAACACACTTTCCGGTAAGGAAATCTTCGTGTGCCCATAAATTGGTTTGCTTTCCTCATGCAAGAGCAGTCGGTTGTCATTGTGATTTGCCAGCTCTTCTTGTAGCTCTTTGGCCAGCCAGACACCCTGGCAAAGTGACTTTGTGTTGTACAGACCTTGGTGTCTGACCATTTGAGAGAGGTAAGGGTACTAAATTTCTTTTTACAAGGGCTATTCTCAACTACTTTTTTTATTGTACTCTTGAAGTGTTATTCTAGTTTAGGGCATGTGGTACATTTTGTTGTTGTTTTGAGCACTGCTCTAGAAATTTACCTGCACCCTGCCTTTCTCATTCCTCTGATTTGGGGAATGGTAGCATTTTGAGTTTGTTACAAGGTGTTGTGAATTTAGACTGCACTAGAGAAGGTAATCTGTGTCATTGTTGTTTCTTTTAAAATTTTCTCTGTACTACTTGAGTGTCTTGTCTCTGAGGCTTTGAGCTTTGGTGACCTGTATTTTTTTCTTTTTTATTTATGAATGGGTTATTAAGAAGAAAGTTTGTTCTTTTGACTCCTAGGTTCCAAAAGAGAAAGATGAAATGGTGGAGCAAGAATTTAATCGTCTGCTGGAAGCCACCTCCTATCTCAGTCATCAGCTGGATTTTAATGTTCTCAATAATAAGCCTGTCTCCCTAGGTCAGGCTCTGGAGGTTGTCATACAGTAAGTGACTTCTCTCTTTGTGGTAGACTTTCCTCTTTTGTGGAGGACTTTGCAACAGATACCTGAAACAATTGTGATGCTCCTAGGGTAAGCATTACCCACTGAATACAGCTGTTTGGTCTCTGCCGAGTTCTCATTTGTGTATGCGTTCCTTGTTTATTGAAGCAAAATATGTCAAAGATGGTTAAAGGAGCAAATATCTTTTCTTGAAAGCCTCCTGAAAATCACTACTACAGTAACTGACAGCAGATAATTGACTTAGTCTGAATTGGTGTACATACAGCCTACTTATGCTACTTGAAAGCTAATGGTATTTGTAATATGCCTTTTAATAATAGTAGATAACTTCAGACTCACATCTTAGCTAGTCAAGTATCCCTTATTTACAGAAACTTGTATTAATTTTCTAATTGTCATACGAGGATTTACTAAAATGTCCCATGACGTGTGCTTTTATTGCATTACACTAATTAGATAGTGATAATGAGTTTTCTCAATAATGCTAGGATTTTATGCTGAATTGACTCTCACTTCTCACCTTTTCCAGATTGCAGGAGAAGCATGTGAAGGATGAGCAGATTGAACACTGGAAAAAAATTGTGAAAACACAGGAGGAATTGAAAGATCTTCTTAACAAGGTCAGATGATGACATTTAGAACAAGAAGATAGCATTTTGTTCCTTAGAAACTGGCAAAATGTACAAAAACTTCCGTGGAAAAACATCAGAGAGTTGCCATTAATGCTGTTCTTACATGTATCTGTTCATTTAAGACCTGCCTAGAAGCACTGTTATGACAAAGGAGTCTCCATCTTTGAGAAGGATCCTATAAGTGATTAGGCAGAAGACTGCAAAACATAAATATGGGAAAAGAAAGGGAGAGGACAGACATGATAAACAGTGTTGTGTCAGCTTCCTTTAGAGATGTTGATAATGACTGAGGCTTTGGGGGGGTATTTTTAAAAATGTTTACTTTCTTTACCACAAATCTGATTTGTAGTGTAGAAACAGTGGTTTAGGCCTACTTACAATGGTTTGGGTTGTGGTAGATGACATCTTTACTTCTCCATATAAGTTTCTCAAATTAAAAATGTCTGAGGACAGCTCTCATATCCTGAGTTATTTGTAACATATTTTGTAAGAAATCAGTGGTGTTGGTTTTAAGCCATGTTGTTTTGGGGTTGGTGGTGTTTATTGTGGTTTCTTGGAGGTCAAATTGCATGTAAGTAACATCTATGAAAACCAGGAAATCTCTGGTGTAATGGCATAATTTGAGATGCATACCCATTTCACACAGTAACTTGCATGAACACTACCTTCCCTCATCTTTTTTTTTCCTTTTCTTTCTCCCTTTTCCTACTCCACCTGAAAAAGATGGTGAATTTAAAAGAGAAGATTAAAGAACTTCATCAACAGTATAAGGAAGCATCAGAAGTGAAGCCACCTCGGGATATTACAGCAGAGTTCCTTGTGAAAAGCAAACATAGAGATCTAACTGCACTTTGCAAGGTAAAGGATGACATATATGTATATAAATCAGTGGTTTCTGAGGACTTCAGCAACCATATAAAATGAGCCAATGTAAATGTTTCCATATCTCTCACTCTGATCCAACACTCTCAAGAGAATGTGACTAATGGTAAACTCTGGGTTGCAATACTGATAACAGGGCTGCATTACCTTTAGGTACCTGTCTTTCATGGCTCATGATGGAGAGTATTAACATGTTGAAGGCTCAGTTTTAGGTAACAGTGTGCTGGCTTATGTCAGACAGTATTTAATGTTTTGAAGGCTAAATTTTAGGTCAGACTTGGTCTTTAGTACTGCTGGGTCTCACAATAGTCTGGAAATAAAATCTGTATTTGAAGAGAGATGCTCTTTCTCTAAGACAAAAAAGGCGTTTTCCTGAGTAAAAGACTTCTTTCTATCCAAAGATGATAATTTACAGAGCTCTATCTTGACAAGCAGAATTAGCCTCACCTTCTGTGTGCATCTTAATGTAGAAATACGCCTTAGAAAGGAAGTCGAAAAACCTGTTCTTTCTAAAGACAAAAGAAAAGACAGCTTGCTAACCCAGGTCAGATAGAACCAAGGGTCATTTTTCAGCTAATTCTTCAACAGAAGGTACCTATCTTTATTTGGAAGCTCAATATGTTTGTGTATACATAAGTAGTAGATCTTCTATTTTGTCACCAATGAACAGCTTTGTGCTCTTGTCAGTATTATTGGACACTCCAAATTATTCTGCCTTGAAGGAAAATGATTGTTGCCTTTATACCTAGTTCTGCTAATTTTTTGAAAATAAGAAAAACACACCTCTGAAAGAAGCTTGAATTAGATCATGTCATTGTCTTTTGCATGACTGCTTCTGCTTTGGAAAGCCCTATGTTCGATATTAATTATAATTTTTTAATTTTGTGCAATATGAAAAAGCTCTCAGTACCATAGGGACCCTTAAAATACCACGACTGTAATGGACCTTCATGTTCTTTAGATCTGAGTATTTAAATTCCTGAAATACTAGCATACTAATCTTTTCTGCAGTGTGGCATAGACTTCTGTATGTTCAAACAGCAGAAGGGCAAAATATGCTGGAGTAAATGTTTAAAAAAATTAAAGAACTTGATTTAGATTCCACTAAAACTATGAATCTTCCACTGATTTGTCTTGAGATTAGGTTTAGTCTGATGCTACATGATGTCTTTAGGTCCTTTTACATGTAAACTGAGTTTAATGTTACCTTTTAATCTTATTAGGAGTATGATGAATTGGCAGAAACACAAGGAAAGCTGGAAGAGAAGTTACAAGAACTTGAAGCCAATCCACCAAGGTAAAGATACAAACTATAAAAATAAATACTCAGGAAAGCAGGTTTTTTTACTAGTTTTGACGGAGTTTCAAAAATGCTGTGGTGAGCTTTCTTTTAATTATGGTAACTCAAGGGGTTAGGAAGGTACAGACATGAAGGTTGAGCTCCTTCGGTTTTAAAACTCATCTTCTTCGTTTTTAGAGGTGACTTGGACAAAAAGGGTTGTTCTTAGCTAGGGTGCATTACAGTAGAAATCCTTCCATAACCAGTACCTGATCTCAGGAAGCCTTTGAGATTAGAAAAACCTGTCAATAATGATAGAATATCAATCTTGCTTATTTTGGTAGAATACTATTACTTTGTGCTCTGTGTGATTACACTAGGTTTTTAGTCATCTTCTTTATATGTGCTACTAAGCCATTATTTATCTAACTTTTTTATTTCTAAAGTTAAGTTTCTAGCTTCACTTAGAGTATTTTACATGAACTCTACTTTGAAAATTTGCCATTTTTTGATATTCAGCTTTTATGAAGGAGGTCTGAATGTTTGAAACAGAATCTGCTTTGTGTTCTTTTTAATTTTTTTTTTATTTCTTCACTAAGGAGGGACTCAAACAAAAAAGGTTGTGAATAAATTTTCAGTAGTAGTGCATTTCCAACATCCTACTCCAGCAAACTAAATGTCTTTTATTACTTTTTTTTTTCCTAGTGATGTTTATCTGTCATCAAGAGACAGGCAAATACTTGACTGGCATTTTGCAAACCTGGAATTTGCTAATGCTACACCCCTATCTACGCTTTCACTAAAGCACTGGGACCAGGTAGCTAATTAATGTATTCATTCAGCTATACACTAAAAAGTTAAGCTATATTTATTTCATTCTCATGGAGGCTTCTCTGTGTTAACAGTTTCTAAACACTTAAGTGGTCTCTGCTTTTATGCAGATACTGAGCTCTTACATGATTATTTTCTGATGAAATTCCAGACAGCTTTTTGTTAGTGCCAAAACAATCTCTAATAATACTGTCTCCAGAAAGTTCCTATACTTACTACTTGACTAATAAACAGAAAGGGTTTCAAATTTATTTGACTCTTTGAAAAAAAGTTTTTGAAAAAAAAATTTGCCATTGTGTAGAGTTGCTGATTATTTTCTGTTGAATTATGTGACTTCATTATAAATGCATGTTTTATACATTTTCATTTTAGGATGATGACTTTGAATTCACAGGCAGTCACTTGACTGTGAGGAATGGATATTCCTGTGTGCCTGTAGCCTTGGCAGAAGGGTTGGATATTAAATTAAACACAGCAGTTCGACAGGTTCGCTATACAGCATCAGGTAAATGACACCACATCCTCCGGAAAACTGCTCTGAGAGAGTGTGATCACAGAAATAAGATTTCAGATGTAAAGACTGATCTCATAAAAACCCTCCCATTATACATTTTGGGTTAGATAAACAGCCACATTTCTTACTGTGACTCATTCTGTAGGAAGCTGTTAAGAGATTAATAAATCTTTTATGTTTTTCGCTTATTTCTGTGGCTGGTTTGATGCCATCCTTTTCAGTTGTATTTACTGATTCACAAGTTCACATTCATTCTCCCATTTTTCTACTTCATTGATTGAAGCATTTGGAGTAAGAGGTCTTGGACTGCTTAAGACTTGGTGCCACAGGATCTGGTATTAGAAGTATAAAGGAATGTAACAGGGACTCAAACAAATGAAGGAATATCATTTTGTGGTTCTTCAGAATATTGGGCTTGAGAAACTGTCAACTGGGAGAGTAACTCAATGAGAGGCTCACTCTCTACTTGCCATTTATTTATGCATATATTTAAATATAATTTCCTGGCGTCGATGAACCTTTAGGCTTATCCCAGTATGGCCATTTTCAGATGCTGTGTAAATTACGCTTTCTGGAATTGAGCTATATGGCCAGTAGCATTCACTTGCATACGAGTTAAGGAATTGTTAGTGTAAAGCTGTCTCCATAAAGAAAATGTTTTCTGCTGTGGATATGTTTTTATGGTAGTTTCTTCAATTTTTAATCCGATGCTCTTGCCTCCTGGCCTATTAAATGATTGTTTTTCTCTCCTCCTTCCAGGCTGTGAAGTGATAGCTGTAAATACCCGATCTACTAGCCAGACTTTCATTTACAAATGTGATGCTGTGCTGTGTACTCTTCCTTTGGGAGTGTTGAAACAGCAGCCTCCAGCAGTACAGTTTGTGCCGCCTCTTCCTGAGTGGAAAACTTCTGCAGTGCAGCGTATGGGTTTTGGCAACCTTAACAAGGTGACTTGGTCATTGAGGGAACTGCAGCAGACCAGGGGTTGCGATAAGTAGAATCTGAAGTGTGTATGGAATATGTATGGTGGATGAGAGGAAAAATGTTTTTCCACTGCTGTTTTGCTAGATTTTGATGGTGAAAATTTTCTGAAGAGCTGTGAGGACCTCTTCTGTATTTCCCACACAATTTTAAAAAAGTTAAATTTCAGAACTAGGTTGACTCAATATGCTTGCTGTAGCTTGTTAACCAGCAAATTTGTAAACTATGAGAGCGTGCTAACCTACAGAAGGCAGTATAGGTATACACCTTTATATAATACATACATGCAGTATGTATTCACCAGATTTCCCTTTCTTGATCTTCCCAGTGATAAACATAAATGAGTGTAATTGACTTTATTATTTCTCAGGCCCTCTGCCTGACTCTTGACTCTTTGTTTCTAGGTTGTGTTGTGTTTTGATCGTGTCTTCTGGGACCCAAGTGTCAATTTGTTCGGTCATGTTGGTAGCACTACTGCAAGCAGAGGAGAACTTTTCCTGTTTTGGAACCTGTACAAAGGTATTTGTGGTGCATGTCTACTTTTGCCAGTCTCTTATTTGTGTAGTTTCAGATCTAGAAAAGAGGACTTTTTAAGATGCTGCTAGTGTTTGCATATGGGTATGATAAGAAGATAGTATTTGTAGGAAGACAAATGGAAGCAGAGAGCACCACTGACTTGCAAACAATTCTGTAGTAAATTAGGGCAGAACATGGATGAGTATGGGTTTACAGATGCTGAATTCGAGGCTGTCTGCTAAATGCATTGCTACCTATCTACTGTAACACTTGCATTTTTATTGGCTACTTTATCGCCTTGCACCTTTGTGAAGTTGTCCTGTGACTTACTCAGTGTTATCTTGGTTGCTTCTATTAAGCATCTATTTAGTTGGCACTGGTATTATGAAAAACTTAACTTTTTTTTAATTTTTATTGTGCTGTATTAAGAAAGAAAACCCCAAAACTTAATGTAGCATGTTTATATAGTATTTCAGAAATACAGCAAATAATGTGTTGTGTTTGCTGAAGAGCAGTATTGTCTTAGTTAAGTATCTGCTTTGTCAGGAGGATGTATTGAGTTCTCCAAGAAAAGGGTGATTTGTCTCTGCAGCATTTCTGAATTAAAAGGCATTTCTTAGTTCATAAGTCTCTTTGAAATTGAGTTTATCTCTGACAGCTTGGAAGATTGTTTGAGCTCTTCCCTTCTTTCAACTAAGCTTCTCATGAAATGGAACTGGCATCCAGTTTAGTCTTAGTTTTGAAAACTTTAGCTTCCTGGATGTTTTTCAAATTGAACTGACAGTTCGAAGCCAGACCTCTTCCATGGGGCTGTCTGTCTAATCTGGGATGATTTGATAACTGTAGAAGAGCCCCTTTCATCTGCAACCTCAAGTCCTTTCTGGTACAGGTGATTTTGCTGCCCAGGATTTCAAACTCACATGTCTAGGAAGTAGCCAAGATAAATTAATTTTTTTTTCCAGATGTAAGGGGTGCTATTGACTTGTGTATTCTCTTATGTGGCTGAGTTGCAGAACTCAGTGCTTGTAGGTTATCCTGCTTCAATTTATCAGGGGAGTGCAGCACAGCCATTACAAAGTATTAAACACTCAGATTTCAGTGGAACAGACTAGAGGCTTTGTGATAGCTCTGTTCCTTGTACTGAGCATTACCATTCCAGCATGATGAGCTGCAGGCCCATCCATATGGTTAAGATGCAGTGTGCCCTGGAGGAAAGGCAAGCTGTGGTGTCTCCAGTTTGTTGAATGGGCAACCTTGTTTGCTGTTTTGAACAGCAAAGTGGCTATGACTGTAGACCATGGGTCTCAGACTGACATATAATGTTAGGACTCCTCTCTAGAAAATGCGTAAGTAGGCAAAAGATATTGCTCTGCCTATTTCTACAGCTGGACTTTGCCATTAGTAGGGTTTTTTTTATCTGCAGCTGGTGTCTGCTACAACAGGTTGTCAGAAGATATTTTCAGTAAACGTACTGTTTTGTTCATTGCCATTTATCATACTAAAAGCAAAGGTGTATATACAGTGAGCACTATTAAATGAGTTATTTTTCTTGCAGATGACTGTTTAAAGTACCAGTGGGTTTTCTTCCACTCTATCATGTGCAGGCCAACTTTTTCCTTCAACTGGAGAAAATTGCTGTGCAGGGAAGGTGCCATTCTAGGGTATTAATTGTTCAAATGTTTGCTAAGACTTGACTGGAGAAATACAAGTAATGAGCCTTGGATAACAAGGCTGTTCATGTATCTGCTTTTGTGGCTTTAACATGGCTCTATTACATACTTAACAATAGTGTTGGATTTTGGTTTAGATGGAAAGACCATCTTGCATACAAAGGTTTTGCTGCTAGATGCAAAACCTTCCTTCTAATGAAAATAGGCAGAGCACATAGAAATAAAATCAAAATGCAATAAAATCCTGTGCTAAAGCACAAGTCAGATGGCTGAAATAAAAAAAAAAAAAATCAATTATGATCTCTCCTGGATAGTTAGGTGGCAGTTAACATGATTACACTGAAATATTAAAGTAGACCTGACTGAATTTGTGAGGCTGTTATTTATTTATTTCATATTCTGGATTTCTGTTGCCATAGCATTTTGGGCAGAGACTATTTAAACTGAACAGATTGGAGAACAATTATTAATCCAGAAACAAAAATCTACTAATTACAGCACATACTGTATTAGCTCTGTGGAAGTTCTTTAAAGGTCTTGTGTTGGCAGAGACCAACTGAGAAGTATTTAAAGATAGGTGGGTGAATGGAGTGAAACTCAGATGAGAAGACTGCATGTGTTTGTACTGCTGTTGGGTGACCTGTTGTAGCTCAGACAGGAATCCTCCCAGTGGTTGTAAGTTCTAGTTCAGATAATGACTGCTGAGAAAATCCGTAGCCTCAGGAATGCTATGCATGTCCCGGAGTAGCTGGCCTGTGCTGTTGGTGCCTCTTGCTCTGCCATGCTGTTGGATCATTGTTGTAGCCATGCAGACACACTTTAAGATGGAAACACTCCATCAGCACAGGGCAGAGGAACTCCTTGCAGAAACACTCAGTGTTTTCTGGAAGTCCAGTGACACTTCAGTCCCTGTTTTCTTGCCTGGCTCTTAGAGACATGTGATGAAAAGAATGAGGCCCTTTCTCTGTCATAGTTTTGTGATTACTCAGTGTTCTCTGGCTAAACCATGTTCTCTGCTTGCTGTTTGGTGTGAAGGCTCAGTTAACATCACTGTCTCAAGGAGAGAGTATTTTGTGGAGCAGTGACACATGCTCATCATGCAAGAAGCTTTTCTGAGCAGCACTTTGGTATTTGCTTAGCAAAATAGTCACTGTTCTGCTACAGCCTTGTGGCTTTCTGTTACAGTTCTGAATTAATCCAGGTGACTGAATAGCAACATTTTCAGGTCTAGATTTGGCCTACAAAACAGGGTCTCATGCCTGGAAAGGCAGGAGTTCCATAAAAATATTTTGGGGTTGTCTGAATACAAGTTTTCATGAACAGATTCACTGGAAGCTGCATTTTGAATATGTAGTTGTTCCATGAAGAAAAAATATGTTGACTGAATAATTGCTGAAAAGTTCAGGGATCTCATTGTGTCAAGGATGGCAAACTAGGAAAAACTTTGCTGCTGAAATCACACAAAAAAAAAATTCCTAATGCCTATGGATGATAAGAAACCAGTTCCTTGTTCTTCCCTTCAATTGTTTGAAAGACTAGCCTGAATCTTTCATAAAATAGAGTTTAATAGGGGAGCAATCCTGTATCTTTTTTCTCTAACAAACTGCTTCTAGTCCTAGAGGTCCTGCATATTGAAGTGTCTTAATTGTATCATAAGTAGTGTAATTATCTTTGTAGTAATAACAGCCTTGCTAGTCTAACTCTTTCAAAGACTTTTGTTTTTAACCAGATTATATTATTGGGTCTTCAAGCCTGTATATCACAACTGAACTTCAGTTTTCTTTAAAGAGCAGTAACTTGATGGGAGTGTGTACCAGGAGATCTCCATATATACCAGGATATAAGGAATTCACTAATCATTTTGGAAACTGGTACAAAAGCTACAGCCAAGTTTTTAACAAGGACTTTATTTCCTATTTCAACATGCTTGACATCTGTTTCTAGCTGTAGTATTTCCTTTGCTAAATTTAGGAGTTCATAAATATCTCCAGGAGGAGAAAGATCAACTGAGAGAGTTTTCATTAAGTAACCGTGCTTGGGTCTGAGTCAATTCTTGTAAATGCATGTTTCCTGCCATTGGGTTATTTTGGTAGCTCTTCAATACTTACCTAAGATTTTCCTTGAATTTGTGACTACAAAAAATGTATGCTTAGTCTTACCATAGCTGGTCAGAGATAAAATGACCTCATCTATTTGTTTGTATATCCTATAATCAACATTAGCACTCTTCACCACAGCATCACATGGGCAGCTGAGTTATTTGATATCTGTCCATTTGACTTCTGAATTCTCAAAATTGCTGCTTTTCTGGTTACTGTTCTGCTGCTCATAGTTTCCACTCCTTTGAGATTATTTAATGTGAATATGCATTGGTAATGAAGAAACCTAGGTACTTTGTATGAGTGAAGTACTTACATAGGTAACTTAACTGCTATGCTGATGTTAATAGTATCTAAATTAGATTGTTTGGAAGGCATTGAGTTCCCTTAAATGTAGCACAGATGACTGTTAAATCCCAATGGAAACTCCGATGTCAAACAAGTGATGTCTTCGCTAAAGAAAACCCTTTTCCTCTCTTCTGCATGCTGTACTTCCTAATGTGTGTACTTATTTATACATCAGTTTTCTTGATAATTCGAAATAGTACCATAGCAAATATTAATTAATTTTCCTTTTGGTAATTCAATGTGATGGTGGAAGATTTAGGACAACTTTTGTTTGTTTACTTTTTAACCTCATGACTTAGCTGCAGGTCTATGCCTATTCAAGTCCAACTTGTCTGATTAAAATGTTCAATTTCAATAATTCAATTGGTTTTTCTCTTTCCTTCCCCTACCCCCGGCCCCAGCACCAATTTTGTTGGCCTTGGTAGCAGGAGAAGCAGCAGGGATCATGGAAAATATCAGTGATGATGTCATTGTTGGACGGTGCCTTGCCATCCTCAAAGGCATATTTGGTAGCAGTGCTGTGCCACAGGTTAGTACAGACAGTGTCTTTGGGTAACTTCTCCGTGTTTCAGAATGTACCACAATTCTCACTAGCTTGGCTGCAGTATTGAGCTGTTTGGTATATGTACCACCTTTTGGTTGTTCAGGGTTTTTTTGGAGGAGGGGTTGTTTGTGGGTTTGGGGTTTTGGGGTTGTTTTGGTTGGGGTGGGGGGAGCAGTTTGAGAAGATTGTCTTAGACAGAGTAAGACTCTGGCTTTTCCAGAGTGTCAAATACTTCAGTTAACTTTCTACCTTTTACATTTCTGGGGTTACAGCAGAGCTGTCCATGGCTAGTGACAGTACTGCTTAGATACTCCCTGCCATGTTGTGCACGTTCTCTAAAGTACAGTACAGCTCTTGACCAGTGAACTCCACAAAGAAACTGGTTTGGCTGGAAAGTAACTGAAGTGGGGGGAAGAGAGTAAAGGCAATTTGTCATCTGCATCAGTTCCCTGTGCAGCTAGCCAACAGTTATTTAGGCACAGTAAGTGTAAAAGGAATGGTTAGTGAAGGGGGAGTTTAGAAAATAATTAAATATTACTCAAAAAAAAAAAAAAAAAAGCTTAGGGCATCAATTTGAAAAGTCTTACAGCTGTTCAACCTACAGTGTGTGTGAGTTGAATATTTGGTCTGCTTTGCTAACACACAGTATGGAAGCCGTTCTTACAAAATGGCATTGGGTGTAAATAAATAGCTCTGCTCCACTGGGATTTCTGTATAGTAAAGTAATAGAAAAAATATATGGTAAATTTAATATCCCAGTCTTCTCTGAGCATTTAGCCAGGTGTAAATTGGACTGTTTACTTGCTTGGTATTTTGCGTGAGGAATAGAGTCACTTGGTTGTCTTTATTGTAGAATAGTTGTAGAGCTCTCTTTGAACACGGCTATATCATCCCCAGTATTTTACTGATTTCTAGAAGATGGACAAATCCTCACAGCTGACTGTAGGCCTGGATTTTTAGTTAATGAGTGGATCTCATATTTTGGAAATGCTCAATCAGTTGAATTTTACATCTCAGACTGGAGAGCACAAGAGAAGGAAACCCCAGGCTTGCCTTTCTGATAAATCCACAGCACCTTCTCTGAACTCTTGGAGGATAATTTCTCTCTCTGAGAGGAGCTTTGAGACGCTTCTGTCTACAGGTGCTGTAGAAATCATGCAGCGTGTAGAACACTCTAGAGTGAACCAAGACCAAGGTGGTTTACTACAGCTGCTCTCTAGTAGGGTTTTCAAGAGAAAAAACCACACACCAGCAAATTGCAGAATCTTGAGAAATATGGATTCTACTGTAGATAAACATTAGAGAACTTGAACTTTTAAAATATTTCAGTGCATTAACTGATAATCGCCTGTTATGGAGTGACTCCATATCTGGTAAGTCATTCAAAGGAGAAAGCAGTTCTCGGTTGTGATAAGCGAGACTTATAAGTGATTTTAAAATATTCACAGTTCAGGTGCTTATCTACTATGACCACTTGACAGTGGAGAGATTTGCTGGAGGCTGTCTTCTGGACAGCCGTTCATCAGTCTGGATAAACTGTACTCTCATCTGTTGTGTTGGATGAACAACTATATATGAAGTGGAGCTTGCTGTGCAAGTGCAGTTCACAGAATTACAGAATGCAGTTCCTTGTATCTGTCCAAAACAGGGAAGTAGAAAAGTTAAACAAAAGCAACACTTCATTGGAATGTGAGCCATCCGTTCATTCCTGTGCTGCTACTTGTTGCTGTCTTATTTCTCTCTCTGGTTTTGTTTTCATTTCCTGAAGATAGGTATAACCACTTTTTCCCCCTGCTGTTCTTCAACACATGGAAACTTTTTCAACCTTGCTGTGCAGCTAACCTCTGCAAGCATCATGTGCTCTGTAGAGTAGAATTCCAGTTTTGTCCCACTTCTGTTGTAGTACATTTTTTATCCTCTAATCATCCTTCTCCTTGTTCACAGGGAATCCTAATTACAGCATTTGGTTCTCAGGATGAAAATAAAAGTTGACTTACATTCATATGTGGGTGTGTGGGCACGTGGACACCACAGCTGCTGTTTGGACTTGTGCAGTCTCAGTACTGGGTACTTTCGTATTCTGCTCTACAGTTGTGTCTGCGTTAGCCATACCTTCAAAACTACCTCAGTGAATTTCTATCTGGCTTTATTCCCTGTTAGACTGCAATGCTTCATGTGATTGCTAGAGAGAATTAAGAAATTTATGAAATGCCTCGAAGTTTTCTTTGTCAGACATACATGTGATAACATACAGTGCCATCACAGTGGTTTCCATCCAACAAGGAGGGACATGCGAGGTTACCTTTTTCTCAAGAAGCCTTCAATATATGAGGGCTGGCTCATCACTCAGTTTATTGCCTTTTGGATGAAAAAGTACTGAAAATTGTGGTGAGGAATTTTCTCAATTAAGTCATCAGACCATATTGGGAAATGTGGTCTCCAGCCCCCAGTGGTGTCTTACACCTTGGAACATGGCCCCAGTCCTCTATGGCCTTTCCACAGACTTGGCAGAAGGCATCACATATAGTCTAGTTGAGGCCAGCCTCAGAGAGATCATCTTAGATCTGTTGGTGTTGGGGTCCAGGAGACTTCCCTTGCACTGTACCACATCAGGGCCTGCTGGACTGGTTTCTAGATAATGCTCTCACTAAATAGAGCCTCTTTCTCTGCCTTAGTGGGAAGGTCCGTTCAAGTAGAAACAATTCCATGAAATATCTTTGTGCCCGAGGAGATGAGGTTCCTCTCTTGATGTTTGCATTTTTACAGGGTATGATTCCTGTTAAAACTCAGTAGCACATTTAGATAGAGTCCGGGCTATATTAAGATTCACATCCATCACTTTTCAATGTTATGTCTGCAGGGTTATGAAGATGTCCCATTTTCTCTTGACTGCTGTTACGCCTTAAAGTGATACTGGTTTGAGTCCTGGTGATGCATCTTTCAGTGGAATATGTTTCATCATGACCGTTACCTTAGCAAACCAGTTGGATTGGAGAAATATAGGTGTTTGTGCAGGTGCCATTCATGCAGTCATTTTCCTAGATGCGTTACAGACCTTGTATAGGCCTATATCATAGCCAAATCAGAAGAGATACTCATATGACCTGAGGCTGAAAGAAAGTAAAGGAGTAGGAAGCGTGTATTGTCATTATGTTGATAATAGGAGAAGAAACAGAGCAAACAGTACACAGTGTGCCTGTTCAGCTGACCACAAAGTGTGAGTTCCAGTGCAGAAGCCGTGCGCAGTACGTTCTGGTAATATTGGAAAGAATTAAGGTATTGCCACCAAAGGCAAGTTATTTACCTTAGTACGTGTTATCGTAGAATATAAATGTGGAGTTCCACCATTAGTGTTAGGTTAAGGACTTTGTGTCTTTTATTCTTGCAATTTGCATCTTTTGTATTTTGCACTAACTGTAGAACTTGCACGTTGTCAACAACTGAGGTCTCTGTCTTGTCTCAGCCTAAAGAAACTGTGGTGTCCCGCTGGCGTGCTGACCCATGGGCCCGGGGATCGTACTCCTATGTAGCAGCTGGATCTTCTGGAAACGACTATGATTTGATGGCTCAGCCAATTACTCCAGGGCCAGCCATTCCAGGTGCTCCTCAGGTGAGAGATGTCTCAATTCTTTTTAGAAAAACCTCAAAATAGGATGATTTTCCTAAGTAATTTGCATACAAATCTAACCACAAGTTTAGCTAACTTGCATATTCTGATGAATGATTAGAACCTGTAAAATATTTGAGTTTCCATCCATGAATTCTGCCTTCCCAGGTTTGGTGTCATTTTTTTACTAGAAAAAGAGCGGTTTTATTCAGAAAGTCTGAACAGAGTATTATAATATTATACATTTATTGTGTTTCATACTCCATATTTATGTTGTCCATCACCATATTTAAGTGAGTTATAGTGATGTGAAAGAGGGTGAAGGCCAGAATGAGAGGCATGGAAATCAAAAGGTCTCTCTCAGATAGGGAGCGAACTCAATGAAGGCGTAAGTCATCTCCAGTTCACTTTGAGAGGATGAAGTTTTGAAAGCAACAGCCATTCTGAAAGCACTAGCAGGGAAGGATGTATGGCTTTGACTTTATTTAGGTTCTTTTTCTAGTGATACAATTCATTAATAAACACAGCTATGGATAAAATGATTCTCTGCAGAGTATAATATATGTAAGTCTGTTTTTCTCCTACTTTTCATTACACTGTCAATAGTTGGTTTAGGTCTCAGTTTAAAGAGAAACTGCTAATTTAAGTGAATTGCTGAAGTTTTTGTTTGCTTACTGTGCTAGAGTTCATGTACCAGGATCAGAGACCATCATTCTTCTTAAACATGTTTAACGGTTTGGCTGTAGAGTTGTAGATACAACATGCGAATGCTGTTTTGGTATACAGCTGGGGACGTTCATCTCCCCTGCTTACCTGGTTCTGAAAGTATTGTTTTTCAAGTAGAGCTTTATTATCTTTGTATCAAAGCAAAGATACTGGCAAATAATTGCAAAATATTTCCTCACATTACAGTTGTCACAAACATGAAACCCTCCTGCAAAATGAAAGGTGCATATAAAGATTTTTCTTGGTAATTTGTAGGGCAGGTTAAAATATTTTTTAAACTAAATTATTTCGTATGCACCACCTTCATGTTAATGGAGACTATGGTGTGATTAGAGGACTTTTAACATTCTTCTTAAAGTGTCTGTTGGCTGCAGGATCTGAAAGAATGTGAACAAGTCTTAACAGTCTTATTCTCTGTTCCCCCCTAGCCTATTCCTCGCCTGTTTTTTGCAGGAGAACATACAATTCGCAACTACCCTGCAACTGTTCATGGTGCTTTACTGAGTGGACTGAGAGAAGCCGGTCGCATTGCAGACCAATTTCTTGGGGCCATGTATACTTTGCCTCGCCAGCCTACACCTGGGGTCCCCCCACAACAAGCTACCGGCATGTAAGAAAAGAAGGTATCAGAAGAGGAGTGACAAGGCCACAGAGCTGCTGCTGTTGACTCTTTGGGATGAAGATATTCACGTCATCTGTAACAGTATCTGCTGAAAGGACTCATCCATGAGTTACTGTATAATACGTCTGTTAGAATGGCCTTACAAAAACTTACCTACCCTTTAGCTTGGCATCCTTTTACAAAATCTCTTATAGCTGTTTGAAGTTTCAGTGTACACAGAATCCTTTACTACCAAGCTAGTCAGGGACTCTTTTGACTCTGCAGATACTTTTTGAAAGTCAAGCTTATAGCTGGAGGTTTTTTAGGTTGTTTTTTTTTTCTACCTATACGTGTATTTACAATTTGGTAATTGCACAAGGCCCTCTAGAAGCTGGTTGCTACAAATAGTAGCTTAGTGTAGAATTTATGTAAACTTCTTTGTTGGGTTTTTATTGTTTTGTTTTGAAGAATAATATTTTTTGACCAATTCTACTCTCATCTGGCATTTGAGAATTTGGTGCAACTGTTTCCCTACCAGTAACACCAAATCACACCCCTCCAAAATGGTCCATTGGCTGCTACACTGTATGCGTCCTGTTTTAGAAAGCAAGCTGGTATTACTAAGAATGTGCTAAGCATAGTGTTTTATTAAATACTTTAAACAAAAGAAATCATCAGAACTGGGTATTTGTAAGTTAAAACCTAGAAATACTATTCATATTTGTTTATATAGAAACAGAGTTGCCTAGACAGTAAGTTAGCTGAAGGACCTAATCTTTTGACCTGCATGCTGCAGGTAGGCACTCTGTTTACCTGTTGATTTCATTTCTGCTAGGTTGATGAGATGATGTTGGAGCTGCCATTGCTAGGCTTCTGAAAATCACTTTGACTTGGCTGCTTTTCCAAATATTTTCCTTATTAATTCAGTGCATAGAGCCCTTCCTTTCATTGCACAGAGCAGTCTTACTTAGGTCCTTTTTCCCTCTTCTCCTTTCACCATTTAGCATTAGACTTTTCTTATTTCTCCCAACTTCTCTCATCCTCCTCTTTCTACAGTTTATTTCTGTCTCATCTAACCAGGGTCTCTGTTCACACTGTTTTTTCTGCTTTTCAGTTTTTCTGTTCTCACTCTCTCTGCCACCTGTACACACACTCTCTCTGCACACGTGCAGTCTGTGCCAATTTCCTTCTGTCCTTCCACCTTCTGTTCTGCTAGAGGAGCGGTACTTCCTCTTGTTCCATGCTCATCCCTCTACAATTACATTGCCCACACTTCTTCCTGAAGAAAATACACACACAAACACAACTGCAGCCCTGACTTGTTTACAGCTGTATTGTCTTTGGCCACAGACTCTCCGTTTAATAGCATTGTTGCTTCTGCTGGTTTTGTGTCTCCTTAGTAGCTGGATATCATTCTTCCTTCTGACTATGTCTATTATCTTCTGGTTGCTTTCTCATTAGATGTTGAAGTCTGTGAGGGGGTATCTCCATAGGATCCTTCTGACAAGCTGTGAGAAAAGGGAGGACTCTGATGTGGTGGGGTAATAGTCTGTGAGGAGGCACAGACCTGAGGTGTCAAGGACTGAGCCCATTTGAAGTGGCTGGATTTGACACCATGGGGGACCCTCTTTCCCAAACCTCTGTCTAAATTAGTGCTACCTTCCCCGTATCTCTAACTTTACAAACATTGTTGCTACTTGAGCACTTTATTGAAAGGGGTACTCCTCAGCAACACTACTGATCCTCGCTTTCCCTTCGAGGGGACAAGACAGACTTTGTGATGGTTAGTCAGAAAACTGCCAATTAAGTGGGGCAGGAATTGGAAGTCCAGCAGGGCATGGAGGAGGGGTGTCCAGGGCATGACTGCGAGTAAATAGAGAGTAATTTGAGACTCAAGATTCCCTGCCTTATGTTCAGGTAAAAGTCTATCAGCACCACTACCTGGAGAAATCCTGTTCCAGGATGAGAGGTGTGACAGGCCTTTAAAATCCACCAACAGCTGATGTAGTCTCTTGGCTAGTCTGACTGAAGATGGGAAAATGATTCGAGAATTGGGGTGCTGTGTTCTGTAACCAGGCTTCCAGGCTCTGTGGGTCTCCATATTTGTGGGGTGGTTTGCTATTTGGATTAGTGATGGTGCTATCTCTCATGATGAGGACTGTCATCCCACTTGTTCTAGCAGGGTGTCAAAAACTCAGAAAAGCACTTCTGGCCCACTGGAAAGTTTAACAACTTAACATAGCCAAATGGTGTCTTTTCCAGACAAATATCACGCCACTTCTCCATCACCCTATTAATGTTATTTTCAACTGCTTTGTTCTGCTTTATGTTTGTTCTGACTGAGACCTAGCAGATTATTCAGCAGGCTAATGCTGTCAAACAACATGCAGTAATTTGTCAAAGACATTAAAATGTAAACAAACTTCGTTTTTGCACGTTGCCATTGGTTTGACTGAGTGGAGCTAATCTTTCACCTGATGACCAGACTGTCCTGTTTTCTCTTTTTGAAAAGACATCTGAAAACTATGGTGACCACTGAAATAAGAAGGTGGAGATGAAGACCTGACAGTTCCCACCCTTTCTGAAGGTGTTGCTGGGTGTTAGCTGATGGTGGTGATGGGCATGAGCAAAGGAATGGGAATGCCAGGAGGAGACAAGGAGGCTCTGTGACTTGATGTAGCCTGTTGGTTGCTTTCAGAGTCTTCACTAGAAGTTGAAGACCATGATCTGTGGCCTGCTGCACCCTGCTCTTTCCATTATCTCTGGGGACTTGACCTATTCCTCAGCCAGTCCCTGCTAACAAGCCGTAGTAGGTATTAGAGAGTGAACAGGTCTTCGGGGTGTTTGAGGCTCAGCAAAGACACAGATAAGGCTGTGCAGCAAGTTGCTGGACACCTCAGAGCTGCTGTGCTGCAGCTCCTGCCCTGCATGGTCCAGTTGCTTGTGTTCGGTGCCATTGGTTGCACCCTAAGCAGAGGGGAGCAGTGGTTGGGTGAAGGTTGAAGACTGCTCCCTTTGTTCTGGTTGTATCTGGGGGTGGAAGGGGGAGCTTGACGGGGAAAGCATTGTCACCCCAAGGCTAGCTGGAGCTTGCAGACCTGGAAAAGGTGGCCTGAGCATATAGTGATGAGTCAGCTTAGTGCTGGAGTTCAGCTCTGCCAGGCCACATGGTGAAACTTCCATTGTTCGTCTGGGAGCAGGATGGTCTCACACTCTCCAGCACTACCAGTGTGCGATATTCCTCAAGCAGGTAGTCTCCCAGCAGTTAGCAGCTCTTATCCCACTACTTCTGTCATCCCAGGGGTGCCGCATTCTGTGCCTCAAATGGTGTCTCTGAGTTCAGCTTATCAGTGTGTGTGTTTAGGAGCACACTGTTCTCTGCTCCCTGTGCCAGGTTCTGTTAGATGGACCTTTGGTCTGACCCATAATGGCTGGTCCTATTTAAGTGCTGTCTGTGCAGTCTTTCTACTACTGTGGCCTACTGAGGAGTAGAGGGCATTGTAACTAAATGGGTCACCAGGCCCTTTTCATATCAGCATCCTTCCTCATGGTGTAGCCATTCTTCCCCTTGCTGCTGTTTGCTTGCCCTAACTTCCCTGAGGGATTGCTTGATCTGTTTCAGCAGATCGTGGATGCCCTTTATCAGAGATTTGAGGCTGCTGGGCACAGCCACAAAACCTTGTGATCGAGTCTGGCTGCACCCTCTGTAGCGTACCTTTCCACCTCTTCTCAGGGACTTGCCACTTCTCACTCTACTCCATGGGTAGGTGAGTTGTATTTCTGACAACAAAACTGGTGCCCATCTTGGAAAGAAAGATGTTCTTCCCCAGTTGGACCTCCCTTTTGGTACTGAAGATGAAGGACCACAATAATCTGCCATGGGGTTCTGAATGCTGAGTGAATGCATGCATTCACTAGTCAGACTGTGATTTTGGATGGGGTGAATCTGCAGGAAGATTTGTATTTCTCAGTTCTCCATATGCCTGTGTTTTTGTCAGGTGCTATCTCAGGGTCTTTGTGTTCAGTCTTTGTATGGAATGGAGAATATTTGCTCTGGTGTTGCCTGTAGTGGAAATTAATTGCATAGGTTCTCCCTGTTTTGTTGTCTTAGTAATTGACTGGATCGTAAACCTAGAGGAACAACTTCACTGGGGTGCTTCAGTTTCTTTTTTTTATTATGAATCTTTTCATCTGACTAGGTCTCTTGCTATATTTCTAAAAAAGTTCAATTGGTTGGTGCTCAGAGTTTGTCTCGTAGTCTTTAAGCCATGAAAGTGGCTCCATGAAGTGAGGTGACTAAACTTGAATTTATTTGTATACTTCTGATTCTTTTTAAAGGTGGTGATAATTCCATGTGTTACTTTTCCCAAAAATGTTTACCAAAAAGGAATTAGATGCCATGGGCTGGTTTGTTTTCAAGTTTTCTGCTTTTAGCAATGATTTTTTGCAATTTCCAATGTATCTAATTTCTAAAGGTGCAATTTTTTGTTCATTTGGGAGGAATATTGAAGCTTACAGGAAATGCTTACACTGACATTCTTCCCCAAAGTACACAGATATTACAGAACTGTTGGCATGCTTCCAGACCTTATGCTCTGGGTGTTACCAGCATCAACTGGATAAAGACCCAAAAAACCCCGAAGAAGTCACCTTTAGAAGGTCAGTGGAGAGTGAAAGCATCCCTTTAATTACCTGTGCATATCAGTCATGGAATGTGTCTTAACAAAGAACAAATTGTGCTAAAATTAGCTTTTTCCAGGTTTGCTGATTTGTATGCTAAAAGCTGTTGCTTCTCTACAATGTCTGTTGGCTTGTATTAACGAAGCTCCTACCGGGCTTGTGGAGTTTGTCGATTACTTCCAGGTGCTGATAGGCATCAAGCCAACATGGTGTTTAGAAATTCCCTGGAAAATATCAATCACAGAGGCTGAGAAATGCAATAAAGTATCCAATGCAAATATTCACATTGGGAACGCAGCCCAGGCTTCACAGTCCTGCACATGTGCAGCTTCATCACGTTCTTACATATGCATGTAGATATGGAGCAGAGTAGCTGACCAAATTATCATACATGGTTCTTCGCTATTTCCAGCCAACCAAAGACCATGGTGATGTGGTAC